CCCCCCCCCCCCCCGGCTTTCGCGTGAAGTAGGATCCTTGAGCTGTTGCAGAGGCAGCCAACTGCTCCATATTTGGCTTCTATTACACATTTACATACTGGAGAGCGGAGCGGCAGCGAGCGCTGTACCGCAGACATCATTTCTACTACAGCGGCGGAGCAGCCCGCAGCGTGTACCCGCGGGGGAAGGAGCCCACATACACACACACATATTTACACACACACATTTACACACACACACACAGACCCCCGCCTCGGGAGGACGGCGGTGCGCGAGTCTCGGTCCGACCCCCCCGCCAGCCCCACCTCCACTGACACTTTACAGTAAGTGCCTTTTTCTTCCTCCTCTGCCTTCTGCCCCCCCCCGCTCCTCCTCCTCCTCCTCCTCCCCCCCGGTTTCTCCCCTTGTTTGGGCTGCGGAGCCACCCGCGGTTCCCGGCTGGAAAAACACGGGGCCGGAGGCGGCTGTGTTCGTGTGTATGTGTGTATATATGTGTTTGTGTGCGTGTATGTGTGCGTGTGTGCGGGGGGGGCAGCGCTGCGGCCCAGCCTCAGGGCCCGGCCCGGGCGGGGGCCACGACATGGCCGAGGGCAGCGGCCTGGGCCCGGGGCTCGTACGGCCCTCCCGCTCCACCTCCTCCTCCTCCTCCTCCTCCCTTCTTCCTCACCCCGCCGGTGGCCGCGGTGGACATTTTGCGGGGCGTGTGTTTGTAGCCGTGTGTGTGTGTGTGGCGGTGCGGTGCGTGACGGGGTGCTGACACGGCCCCTGTGTGTGTGTGTGTGTGTGTGTGTGTGGGAGCGGGGGGGCCGCGGCCGGGCCGCACGGCGCATGTAGTAGGGGCTGGGCGGCCGCTGAGGGTGAATGAAGCGAGCGGGCGGTGGAGGAGGAGGCGGCGCTGGGACGGGGCTGTGCCCGGCGGCCACCCCGCGCCGCCGCTGCCGGGGCCCGGGCCGCCCGCGGACAACGCCCGGTACCGCCGCCGGGGGAGCGCGGGAGGGAGGGCCGCGGTGCACCGCCGCTCGGCCCCGGCGCCGACCGGAGCTCGGGGTCGGGTCGGTGTTGTTCGATATCCCCCCCTCAGCCCCGGTAGGGCCGCGATCCGCGAGCGCGATTCCTGGGGGTACCGAAGTCTGAATTAAAGGCGCTGGGAAACGTCAGCGCCCGCTGTGATAGCGATAATAACGTGACGGAGCGGCGGCAGAGGAGGAATTACCGCCGGGCGCTAACGGAGGAGCAAACGAGTCGGAAGCCGTTATATAATGCGCCGTTCGGCGCGGGGAGCCACGGCTGTTTGGGTGCCGTTGGCTGCACAGCAGGCGCTCCGCGGGCAGCCGTGCCGAGCCGGGCGGGGGGATACGCCAAGCCCCTCCGTGCGCGGGGCAAAACGCGTCCGTGCAGCGGCACGCTGAGGGCTTTTAATTTCGCTTTCGAGCCCTTCCGCCGCGGGATCGCCGCGCCGCGCCTCCGGCCCTTCCCCCGCGCGGTCCCGGGCTCTTCTCGCAGCCCCTCGTCGCCGGAACCCGCCCGGCCCGGCTCCGCCGAGCGATGTGAGCGCGCTGCCATGGCAACGGACGGCCCCGGCCGCTCAGGTGTGCGCGCGCCGTGCGCCCGGCCGCCCCCGTGCCGCGTGCGGACTGCGGGAGGAAGGGGCGGCGGTGCTCGGGGGGCTGCGGGCTCGCGAAAACTTCGCCGCTGCTCCCCTCTCCCCGCCCGGCCGCCGTAGGCCGCGGGGCCGTCCCGCGCCGAGCCGTGACATTACCGGTGGGAATGCCCGGTGCTGCGTGACTGAGCAAGGAGCTGTGTGTTGGGGGACGGCTGGCTTCCTGCTCCCTCGGTTAAAAAAAAAACCGAGGGGCGTACGATATAAAGATTTTCTTATCGGCAAACAACTCGTTGCTGGTATTCCGATTTATTTTATTTCGCATTGGTGCTCGTTGAAATACAGCAGAGTAATAGAGTGGGAAACTTTCCGCCTCAGACAGCGTAACGCCGTGACAGAGCAGGCAGTGCAGCTCCGCGCTGCGTGCCGCCCTCCGGGAGCGCTGAACTGAAGATCTCATGCCGGCCTTCCCCCCCCGCTGCCTGCACACAGGCGCCCAATCTGGTGCTCGATCCTAATGCCGTGGGCCTGGAGCGGCTCCAGGGGCTGCTTGTGAGCCGCGCACACGGTGTGTATCTGGGGTAGCTCCGCTTGTTGGACCGCGGCCAGGCACAGAGCAGAGTAGCAGAGCTCAGGCGCTGATCCGCTGCCTGAGCCATCGTTTTCCCAATATCTTTCTACGGCAAAAAGCACCGTGGGAGTTTTGCCCCCTGGAGGAGCCGCGTTAGCCACGTGCAAGAGCGGTGAATGACTCCCATTGCTAACCGCACGTGCATCCACGCTGCTACAGAGCGCAGCCCGGAGCGTTGCACATCTCGGTGGGGAGAAGTTGCCGGCGCCATGCAGCACCGGAGCTCTCAGGCAGCCCGTGGGCTGTGCTGACCGGCCCTCTGTGCCCGGGGCTCGATCCTAATGCCTGCCTTTGGTGGGAACGGCCTTCCTCTGCGTGCCGAGGGGGCTGGAAGGAGGGCAGCCCGTGGAGAGGAGTGGTAGCAGAAGGTGAGTGCTCACAGCACGGCTGCTGTCGAGCTGCCACTGCGTGCCTGGTGTTGCTGGTGACGTGCTCCATGGAGAGGCAGTTCACCGTGTGACAGAGCACAGCAAAACAGTTACTTCGAAAAGGCCGTTTGTGTGTAGTTAAGAGACTTCCTGCAAGTACAAGATGCAGCTCTTCTCCCTGGCCTGGTCTGATTTACTTAGAGAGGCTGAAGGAACTGGTCTTGTTTTAAGAGACATTTACAAGAGGCCTGGAATTTCACTTCACCAACATTTTTATGTAATAGATCCAGTGGCCTAGTTTCATCTTAATTAAGAAAATAGACGTTAAATGTGCTCACCTGAAAAGCAACTGCTGATTTAAACATTAGGATGTGAAAGTAATGGTCTCAATGCCATGCCTAGCAGAGCAAAACGAAGGCTTAGTTCTCCCCGTGCTGAAGTTCAGCAGCACGTCTGAGTAGAGGGCAGCGAGGACTGTCGTTGTCATTGCTGGTGCGGCGCTGGCTTTTGTTGTGGTGTGCTAATTGAGGGGAAACGCGATGAAGAACTGCAGCGGGGCTTAAAGCAAACGCGTGTCAGAATGGCGAGGGGCTGCGGCGCTGGCTGGGTGCAGGGCTGTGCGGCAGGGCTGCCTGGTGGGCACACTAGGCTGGGTGGGGACTGCACAGGTACGGTCTGGGCGCTCTGCACGGCTCGGGTGGCAGATGGAGCTGTAGGTCTCCTCGGAGGTACGGTACCGACTGCTGTAACAAATACCAACACAATTAGCTGAAGAGGCAGCAGTCTGACAGGCTTGGCACAGGTAAATGCTGCAGTTTGCTGAAACGACGTGCTGTATTCCAGTGAGTACTCTGTAGGAAGTTGTATGCTTAGCCTGAGCTTGCAAGCCAGAAATCCTGATCTCATTCGGTTTTACTCGGTCAGAGGCACAGCATTTTGGAATCTGATGTCATACGTGCATCTTGTTCGGTGGTTTGCATTTTTTATGAGCTGAAGTTTTTTTACACGGTTTTGGCTTAGCTGATTGGTGATGGATGCTTCTAAATGGAAGAAACTTTGCAGTCTCCTAACTTTTGTGGAAAGGCAGAAACTGGATCTATGGCTGTAATTCCTTTTTGATCCCCCTGCAAACACTGAGAGGGTAATGCTGGATGCTTTCTGTTTTTCCCCTAAAAGCTGGAGTCTGAGATGGCTCTGAAACACATGCAAATCTGTGTGCGTGTATTGGTCCCAGTCTGCAAAGTTGCCTTAGTACACGTCCCAGCGAGGGTTTTGCTGAATGAGGATTGATTAAAGAATCTATCTGGAGTTAAGTATGTGTGTAAATCCTTCCATAAATAGGGTAGGGACGAGTCAGCGTGCTCATAAACTGAAACAACAAAAGTGCTTCTCAGTGAGGGAGAAATGGTCCCACTAAATCCTTTTATTGTCCCAAGAGTGATAAAAATATTTGGTAGGATTCCAAGTGGGGGGGAAAAAAAATATTTTGTTGAATATGTGATGTCAACAGAATGTCAGTGCTGTTGCTCTCAGTATTTTTACTGAAGAAAATTCAGAAATAGAAGAAAAAGAACCATGCTGGTAGCATTGGCTGCTGTTTACATTGTTTGAGCATTTGCAGCACTGTGCAGTGGCTCTAATGTGCTGCGGTTAAGGACAAGGTAACGCCACATTCCCCTGGCTGACTGCATTCACCCAATGGCAGCAGTTGCAGCAGTATTCTGAGTGGTGCCCCTCCTCAGATACAGCACAAGCCAGTTCTGCTGGCACTGAAGTCAGCTCGACTCGCTTATGGTTCTTCACCTCGTCAAGATCACATGTAGGAAAAGAGCACTCTGTTGGAATATGTGGGCTACATTCTGTGCTGTATGTGTGCTGTCTGCGAGACTGAATCTATAGTTTATTTGTGCTTGAGTAATAGCAAAGCAACCGCTCAGGCTTCATTAGAGCGTCTTAGGGTGCTGCCATTTGAGTCTTACCTGTGTTTTTGCTTTGTTTTCTTTTGGCTCCCACCTCCTCAACTTTGGGACCTCCAGTCACGCCGCAGGCCGAGCCAGACGGGCGAGCAATACAAGCTGTGAATTTATTGTTGACCCCTGCAGGACAGTGACCACCTTCACCGTCATCTTTGCCGTACAGAGATGCTCTGTCAGTAAGGTGAGAAAGTGCTGCTTTTTCTTTTGTCTAACAAGCATGCGCTGTCTGCAGCAGGTTCTGGTCAGCACGGGCACCTGAATGCAGTCCGTGCCGTTATCTACCTGCAAAACGTCTGTACTTCCCGTGCCTGGCAGTAGAGGTCCTGGAGAAACTCATCATAGAAATTCCATTAGCTCTGGTGACTCAGTTGGGTGACTGACAGGACAGTGGGTTCCAGATGAGTGGTTTTATGTATACCTCAGGTCAGAGTGTATGCAGTTACTAAAGATTGTAGCACGAATGGAAAAGTTTTACAGTCTTTGATTTTTTGTTGGTTAATACCACCAGTATAATTATATAAATCCTCCCCGTGCTTTTGTGAACATTTTTAGCAGTTCTTGTTCCTAGCAGCTCATTTGACTTTTCAGTATCCTGATTTCCCCTCGAGCACTTAACTGCCTGGCATGAGGATGCTTCCCAGATAGCTGGTCACTAGTGATGTGCTCGAGTGTCTTTTACTCCAGTTTCAGGAATGTTTTCAGTTCTTCTGACTTTTTTCCCCGAAGTTCTGGAACCAGACAGGATGGAGTAGCATGCTCAGCTCCCTCTCCTCTTTCTTACTTCTCCTTCTTGTGTGGTTGGGGGAAATACCTTGAAAGAACCAAGTTTAAGGGCTCAACAATCGTACTGCCAATAAAAAGAACATAAATTTTTATTTTATTTCTTTAATCTGATTGTCATTAAGCCAGCTTGGTTTTCTGGACCTGTTTCATGATTTTTGAGTGCTTCAGATTGGCAATGCTACTAATACTTTTTTGGGGGGGAAAAAAGAAAAGACAAAAAGTCATAAAAAATGTGACGTCTCTAAATAAAAGAAAATTAAATGCAGCAATTACTTGCAGAAGTTAAGGTGCTTTTTTCACCTTTATGCAGCCAGGAAACTCCATTACTACAGCATTCTACATACGAGGGGTTGACCAAAAAGCCTCTGTTGCAGAATAACTTTCTAATATATGCAGCATGTCAGAGAGGTGTGTGGCACGTCATTTACATTTTATTATGGCTGTGGGGTAGGGTGCTGTGCTGTAAAGGGAAGTTGTCTGAGCAAGCACTTACATGTAAAGACATGCCTCTTAGGGTTTACGGATGAGCTGGAGTAGTGGGGGTGGACTGATGGGGCACTATGCCCCTTCAGAGCAATAGGAGATTTTTGGTTGAACAGCCAGCCCAAGTGCCTGTGCACTGACACATTTCATCTTTCACTTTCGGGACAGAACTGACTGGGTAGCTTCTGTGGGCTCAGGAGATCAAATAGAAGGGAGCTCTCTGTTATGACAGCGATGTTGCCACAAAACCTTTCATTTTTTTCAGAACTGGCACAGGTTTTATGAAGTTGTATTTATTTGCACAGCCAATTACCACAGGACAGCTTTCTATCTCTTAACTAGAAGAAACGATTTAAAGCGTATTGCTTGAATCCTGTGTGAGTTACCCGCAATGTATCTCTAAGTCACTTAGAATATTTTAGCATCTGGCACTTCCTGCGATGGCATGAGAAAAAGTATGTTACGTGTTGGGAACAGTTTGGATTAAAGAAGAAATAACCTAGTTAAGTCTGCTGCAGTTGTCTCGGTTACAGCGTGAGAGGAGGGCAGGACTGTGCTGCTTTTTTTCAGTATCAGTGCAGTTTGAAATGCAGCGTTGTCTTCTGGCCTTCAGATCAGATCTTTTTCAGCTCCTTTTCTTGGACGTGCTGTCTCAGTCGCTGAGCGTGGGTTCCTCTATTGGCCTTGTTAGTTAGTGCTTATTTTCTCTAGGGATCGATCAAAATCAGTCCTACTGCATGAGTAAAGAGAAAGTTACTGAGATAGCGACTGCCTGCTTACAAGCGTTATCTCTTACAAGTGCTTGATTTAACAGAAGGGAACTCAAAAGTAGTAACACGTGAAACAAACATGACCCAGAGCAGCACAGTGATCAGCCACAAATAGGTTTCATGAATTGAGATCGAGCACTGCATGCTCAGACCCAGCATCTTTTCCAGCGCTCACATTTTTTTGGCGGGGGGGGGTGAAGCATCAGCAGCCCTGCTCTGTTCTGTGCAGACCCAGGTTATTGCCACGAGTTCTGTCCGAGGGATGGAACATCAGGCACGCTTATTTCACCTGGCACCTCCAGTATCAGAGCTCAGAGACTCTGCTTCAGCCCTGGTGCCCCCCCACGTGCGTTTGTACTCACAGAAGGAGGCGTGTGGCTGCAAGGAGTGAAGCCGCTGCGGTGTGTAAGCTTGAGGCGTGCCTGCTGCTCGGCTTCAAGCAGCTTTCCTGCAGTCTGCAGAGCTCACTGCCTGAATGAGGACACTGGGATTAGTGAAAATAAAATCACATGTGTTGAGATATGGCTTTTTTTTTTTCCATGATTCCTGACTTCAGTTAATTTTAGCCTGAGCTAAAAAATGTTGAGTTATTGTTATTTGTTCAGAACTCGCTCTGCCTCCTTCCACGCAGGCAAATGACTCAATGCTTTCTTTTAAGCAGTTGTGTCGAGAGGGTTTTGCATGAGGCACTGGATGTTTGAATAACTGGAGTGTTCTTTTCAATCTTTTTCACTGTTGAGTCACTTGATATCTATTAATCATGTCGTAGTATCGGGTTGAATTTGCAGCCACAGCCTGTTTGTAAATTTTTATTACTGAATTTTCCATAAGTATATCTGCACACTACCTGTTAGGTACAGAAGGCCTAAGCTGTGCTTTGCACAGGCTTTTGGCTGCCACTCTCTGTAAATGAACAGCAGTCTGTCCTCTTAAAATATTATTTACTGAATGTAGAAAGAGGTAATCGGTCTCAATATTAGTGTGTCCAAAGGCAATTTTTTGATTGCCATATCGGTGTTCCTTTATCACGGCTGATTTTATTTCCTCCCTCTTACACTGTTTATCAAGGCCTGCAATGGCTGTAGGGCTAAAAGAAGGCAGCGGTGGAGACTGTGAGCACATTAACAGCACAAATGAAATGATGATGTGAACTAGGTATAATTGGAGAGTAATTAGAAATCATTTTAATTTTTTTTAATTGTTTGTTTTGTGGCTGAGTGAATAACTCTGTGATAAATTGAATAAAAAGACGTGAATGCAGTGTCAGATGTTGGAGATGAGGCCTGGTCACCTCCCCAGCCCTACCCCATCACCCCCGTGGTGCCCTGCCCTGGCTTTGCTCTGCTGTTTCCTCAGCAGATGCTGCTGTAGCCCGATGTCAGATTGACTGGAGGTTTTGTAACACTGTCTGAAGTATAAACGGAGTTGGCTGCAGTGACTTGTCTAGATGGAAGTGCTAGGCTCTCATTGGTAATGTGATATAAGCCAGTGCCTGAGGTTTGATTCACCTTCCGTGATATGCTGTGGAGATCTGTCCTGTGCTAGCATTACTTTACAGTGTGATATTTTGGCTGACGGGGCGAATATTAGAAACAGAGCATGTGCTGAGGGTCAAAATGCTGTGATTGCCATCCCTGATCTGTAGTTCTGTACAGGCCTCAGCATCATACATGCCCTCCTCCACTTACCCTTGGTGTGTTCAGTAATTACTTCTTTAGTTGTTGGTGAGTTAGCAGTGAGCAGTTCTGTTTGGGACTAGCCAAAAGCCTGATGTAGGGGTTTATTGGCTTACTCTTCAGTCTATAAAAAGCAGAGAAGTTTAAGTGTTTCTTGTTTGTACTGGAATGTGGTTGTGAGCGTTACCACATTTTTGTTTGTCAGGTACCCATGCATGAAGGCCCTTCAGGTTTTGCAAATTGAACGTTGCTGTGAGATGATCTTCTTGAAGAAAGTCAGGCTTTAACGGAGAAGGCTAAGTACAGAAAGCAGGCTTAATCCTTGTGAATTTGTGTGCCAGGGAACGTTTTCTCGTCGGTGCCGTCCTTGTCAGTGTCACGTGGAGCAGCTGAGCAGAGAGTGCCTTTTCCGCTTACTATGATAGTAAATGCACTTACCCTCCTCCCCAGCCCTTGAGCACATCCCCTCCCTGGTAGCAGCCTGTCTGCATGGCCGTCTGTCCCCAGGCAGTCTGACAGCAGGCGATCCGCAGTGTTGGAAAACTCATTGTATGCAAAGGGAGAAAATCTCACTGGCTTATTACAGCACAAAAAGTTGCAAATTAATTCTTCATGTACCGCTAGTGGTTAAAAACCCATCGCGCTAATCATATGAAATGCATTTTTATTTACAGATTAGTAGGCTCTACTCTGACATATGACTAACAGGGAAGCCCCTCCCTTTAACAGTTGTATGTCATCTGCTTCAGAGAACTAATTACTTGGCAATTCCCATTTGATAATTCCCTCTTTATTTTCTGATGAGTTACTTAACAGTGATGAGCTTGTTGAGCAGAATACCGTGCTTAATCTCTGCTTGAGAAACTGCAGTGTGGGCCTGGGGATATCATTGTTTTCTGACTGCTGCTTAGCCTTGCCTAGGAATGCTGAAACCACACTAAGGCATGTTAACGGTTCGCAGTTACCGGTAAGCTTAATGGGAGCCGTGCACAGAGCTTCCCAGAACGTAGAAGAAGGGTTTAGATTGCTGTTGTGGTGTTGTGGTTGCGTTTTAAAATTGTATCGTCTGCAGACAGGATGTTAAATGCATCATTTCTCTAAAAATCAAAACGAAGCCAAACGCGATTTAGGAAGTACACGTTTGTGTCAGAGGTATCTCCTGTGCATCATTAATCCTCTCCACTGCAATGATATATTTTATTGGGAATTTTTTTTTTTAATCACCATTTTCCCGCAATATTATTTGACAGTTCAGTTGATAATGGTAATCATCTTAATATTTGATACTTAAATAGGATATCACCGTGTTTTCCCCGCTGTTACCTGTTTTTCTTTATCTCCCCCCCCCCCCCCCCAGTCCCTTTTCACACTCTCTGACTCCAGTGACCACAGCAACCCGTGTTTCTGGCTGGGGAATGCATTACAAGCCTCACGCTAATTACCGCCTTGCAGTGCTTCCAGAGGGTACC